AGCTCAAAGTGTGTGTCCGCCTCATCTTTAAAACAATCCTGTAATGGACTAAATCTATTGTATACATCATTAGTAGCATATTCACTTGGAGAACTTCAGGAACTTTTGCTAAAATTAGGAGTATTTCAATAAAGTGAAAATCCAGTGAATCATTAGTGCAATTTGTACATACCTGTGGTGTCCAATTAATGTTCAGAGGAACCGGCAGGTCGGCTGAACAATCAGGAGCTTCTGTGGGATGCTGTAGGAGGAAAACATTTGATCAGAAACAGGATGTCTGGATGCACAGTAGGTCTGTGCCATCATGGTACCCAGAATCACACTGACCTGAAGTCAGACCCTTATGGCTCCACACAACATGATGTCAAGAATGTTGTGTCTTTACACAACATTGGTAGAACTGGTTTTTCAGCACCACCATATGAAGGTCATTTGAGTGAGTGCAGAACCAAAATTAATCAGTGAATATTAAACAACACAACTCATCATTAGTTCACACCTCCTGGTTACGGGCAACGCTTCAAACCCAAAGATTTTTTCTGGTGTTTGTGGCAGCCTACACATGGGACAGTAAACCTGGCTGATGCCAATCATCCAGACATGATGACACCGGTTATTGTAAAGATCGCAAAGCCTGAATCCAGAAGGCAAGAGTAGATTTCATGAGGTTTTGTAATGCTTAAGGCATTTGGTGTTATCTGTGTTGAGCAACTGGAAACTCGGTGCCCTCACAAAGCCATTGCTTTGTGTGCTTTTGCAACATCTTGAAACCCCACATGGAAGGGCGTTGTACAATACAACCTCCCAGCTTCTTTAAGACACCACAATGTGAGCCCTATCAAACTATCAAGTGCTGGTAACACTAAGGTTGTTACAAGGAATATTCAGTGTCTGCTGACCTTCACTCTTTGTAGATTGATTGTAGACACTCTTAAAATCATCATCAAAGCGTGGTTCTCTCTTAATTTCCTTAGTCTAAATAAAAATAAGACTGAAGTTATGTTGTTTGGACCTTGGCTCACTGTAATTTCATCTCAGGAATTGTGTGACCAATTTGGGGGGTGAAGTTTGAGTCAGATTTTAAATTTGAGAAACAGATCAGCAGTGTTGTTCAGAAAAGTTTTTATCAGCTTCGTCAAATAGCAAAAGTGAAACCAATCTTGGCAAGATCTGACTTGGAAAAAATAATCCATGCTTTTATCACAGTTCATCTTGATTATTGTAACTGTATGTAGGCATTAGTCAGACCTCTCTCACCCGCCTGCAGCGTGTGCAGAACTCTGCTGCTCGCCTCTTGACTCGGACACATAGGTGCGAGCATATCACTCCAATCCTGGCCTCCCTTCACTGGCTCCCTGTGCACTATAGCATTATTTTAAGTTGCTGCTATTTGTTTTTAAATGTTTGAACAATCTTGCTCCTCCATATTTGTGTGAGCTGCTTCAAACTTACTGCCCATCCTGATCTCTAAGTAAGGCTGGAAAAAAACAGGAAAAACCACAACAGCTGATGTCTGAAGGACAGCCGGAGAAAACTGAGATATCAGTGGAACACAGCGTGCCAGTTACTGATAAGAAGACTGCTTCAGAATCAGAACCACAGAGAGGAGTTACTTCAAGCTGCAGAAGCAGCATCACAAACAGAGGATCTCTTGGACTCTGAGACCCCAACAGGACAGCAAGTGGAATGCCCCCTCCTGGATTTTACTAACAACATGGAAGAA